GGTGGTGGTGGTGGAGGAGGAGGAGGAGGAGGAGGAAGAGGAGGAAGAGGAAGTGGTGGAGGAGGATGGGGGGAGAGGAGAAAGAAAAGGAGGAAGAGGAAAGGGAGGAGGAGAAGTGCAGAGAGAGGAGGGGGAAGTAGGGGAAGGAGGAGGAGAAGGAAGAGAAAGAGCTGGATGAAGGAGATGAAGGAGAGGGAGAAGAAAAAAAAAGAAAAAACGAAAAAACAAGAACACCAACAAAACAGAAACAAAAAGAACCAAACCAAACAAAAACAAAACAAAACAACAACGAAAAACAAGGAAAAAACAAATCAAAAAGAGGAACACCAAGGACAACAAAAACGAATCTCACGAAACGACTCATCAACCAAATCACAAACACACGAAAGAGACAAACAGACCGACTCAAGACTCTCGCGACAATGGACACGAGCCTCAAGGTAAACACGAGCGGGACGTCGAGTGATAGGACGCTCGAGAAGGTAGGGGGGGGGGAGGGGGGGAGAGGAAAGGGGAGGAGGAGGAAAGGAGAGGAAAGGGGGGAAGGGAGGAGGAAAGGGGGGAAGGGAGGAGGAAAGGGGGGAAGGGAGGAGGAAAGGGGGGGAAGGGAAGAGGAGGAAAGGGAGGAGGAAAGGTGGGAAGGGAGGGAGGGAAGAGGAGGAGGAAAGGGGGGAAGGGAGGAGGAGGAAAGGGGGGGAAGGGAGAAAGGGGGGAGGAAGAAAGGGGGAAGGGAGGAGGAGGAAAGGGAGGAAAGGAGGAGGAGGAAAGGGGAGAAAGGGGGAAGGGAGGGAAGGGAGTAGGAGGAGGAGAGGGGTGAAGGGAGGAAGAGAAGAGGAGGAAAGGGGGGAAGGGAGGGTGAAAGGAGGAGGAGAGGGGGGAAGGAAAGGGGGGAAGGGAGGAGAAGGAGGAAAGAGGGGAAGGGAGGGAAGGGAAGAGGAGTAAAGGGGGGGAGGAAGAAAGGAGGGAAGGGAGGAGGAAAGGGCGGAAGGGCGGGGGAGGAAAGGGAGGGGATGGGAGGAAGGGAGGAGGAAGAAAGGGGGAAGGGAGGAGGAGGAGAGTGAGGGAGAGGAAGAAGAGAAGAGGGAGGAGGAGGAGGAGGAGGAGGAGGAGGAGGAGGAGGAGGAGGAGGAGGAGGAAGGAGGAGGGGAGGAGGAGATGGTTTTGCCGGATAATTTTTGAAGACAAAAAGGATTTACACTCTGTTCTATGCGCAAGAATGTGTGTGTGTGTGTGTGTGTGTGTGTGTGTGTGTATACATATATATATATATATATATATATATATATTATATATATATATATATATATATATATATATATATATATATCATATATATACACATTAAATATATATACATACACATACATATACACATATATACATATAATTATGTACCTATATCTATCTATCTCTATATATAAACATGCATACCTATACACATACCTATATAGATATATACATACACACATACATATATATTCATATCTATCTATCTATCTATCTATATATTCATACATACGCACACACACACAATACAGATATAGATAACTGGACAAATCAAGATATTGGCTGAGAAAGACACAGCCAGACAGGATAAACACAGTGACAGACAGGCTACAAGACATCCAGTGAGAGAAACAGTCAAACACATAGACACACAGACACATTAAGAACAGAAAAATACATACAGCAATATTATTTATGAGACAGTTAGAGACAAACAGACAGACAGACAGAGACATATACAAACAGACATCCAGAAAGGAAAGGAAGAAGGAAGAAAGGAAAGGAAGAGGGAAGGAAAGTAAGAAGTAAGGAAGAAGGAGGAGAGGAAGAAGGTAAGGAAGAAAGAAAGGAAGAATGGAAAGGATAAGGGAAAGAAGAAAGGAAAGGGAGAAAGAAGAAAAAAATAGGAAAGAAAGAAGCCAGAAAAAAAAGGAAAGGAAGAAGGAAGAAAGAAGGAAAGAAAGGAAGAAAGGAAAGGAAGAAGAAAGAAGGAAAGAAAGGAAGAAAGGAAAGGAAGAAGGAAGAAAGAAGGAAAGAAAGGAAAGGGAAAAGGAAGGAACGGAAGAAAGGAAGAAAGGAAAGGAAGAAGGAAGAAAGAAGAAAAGGAAGAAAGGTGGAAAGGAAAAATAAGAAAGGAAGAAAAGGAAAGGAAGAAAGAAAGAAGGAAGGAAAGAAGAATAAAAAGAAAGGATGAAAGGAAGAAAGGAAAGGAGGAGAGGAAGAAAGGTGGAAAGGAAGAAAGAAGGAAAGAAGAATAGGAAGAAAGGAAGAAAGGATAGGAAGAAAGAAAAGAAAGAAGAAAGAAGGAAAGGATGAAAGGAAAGGAAGGGGGAGGAGGAGGAGGAGGGAGAGGAAGAGAGGACGAATAGATGGGAGGGAGGGAGGGGGGGTGGGGGGAGGGGGAGGAGGAGAGAGGAAGAGGAGGATTAGGGAGGAGTGAGGAGGAAGGAGGAAGAAGACGGAGGATAGAGGAGGAAGAGAAAGAGGAGGAGGGGGAGAGGGAGGAGGGAGGAAGAGGAGGAGGAGGAGGGGGGGAAGAGGACGGAGGAAGAGGAGAAGGAAGGAGGAGGAAGAGGAGGAAGAGGAGGGAGGAAGACGGAGGAAGAGGAGAAGGAAGGAGGAAGAGGAGAAGGAAGGAGGAAGAGGAGGAAGAGGAGGGAGGAAGACGGAGGAAGAGGAGAAGGAAGGAGGAAGAGGAGGAAGAGGAGGGAGGAAGACGGAGGAAGAGGAGAAGGAAGGAGGAGGAAGAGGAGAAGGAAGGAGGAAGAGGAGAGACAGAGAGAGGACAGACATGCAGATAAGAGCGTGGTTCAAGGAAGTGGAGTGATAGGGAAAAGGAGAAGTGAAGGGGGGGGGGGGGGGGGTGAGAAAGGATGATATGGGAAAGGAGAGGAGAGAGGTAGAGGGAGGGGGAAGAGAGGGGAGGAGAGGAAGTGGTGGAGGGGAGGGGCTTCCTGAGCACAATAGATAACAGACCCACAGACACGCGATGGGAGACCGTGTGCTTTGTTATCTTTCGTTCTCCCTCTCTTTCTCCCTTTCTCTTTCGCTTTCTCTCTCTTTTTTCTTTCCTCTCCTCTCCTGCTATCATGCTCTTACCACTTATCTCTTTTCCCCCCGTTTGCACGCACACACAAACACACACACACACACACACACTCTCTTTCTCACTCACTCTCTTTCTCTTTCTCACTCACTCTCTTTCTCTCTCTCTCTCTCTCTCTCTCTGTCTCTCTCTCTCTCTCTCTCTCTCTCTCTCTCTCTCTCTCTCTCTCTCTCTCTCTCTCTCTCTCTCTCTCTCTCCCATGCTCTCACCACTTACCTATATCTCTCCCCTTTCTTTCTTTCTATCTCCCTTTCTCTTTTTCTCTCTCCTCTTTACCCGCCGACATTTCCACATAAGCACTGACCTACTAACGGTACAGGCCTATGCGGTAACATATACCAAAGGGGTATTAAACTCCCCCCTCCCCCCCCATAGCACACTCTTTGTGAATCCTGATTGCTGTCCACGTAGCCACTCCCTTCAGTTGTAATTGGGGAGTACGCTGAATAACAATTATTTCTGTTTATCTCTACTAGAAGGTGTTTCGAGATAACAGGGCGTTTGTCTTTAATGAGGAGTATTTTTTAGTTTCGCTTCAAGTAATGCGATGGAACCGTGAGCTGATAAACCTTATTGAAATGTTATCAAATGGAAAGTAATGGACCACGATTTACACATTTTTGTCTATGATTAAAAAAAGGCTATGACTCTGCACCACGTCAATAGTCAGGAAGCAAGATAATAAATGAATAGACTGATAGATTGATAGCTGGACTAGATAGAGATACAGACAGTGTGTGTGTGTGTGTGTGTGTGTGTGTGTGTGTGTGTGTGTGTGTGTGTGTGTGTGTGTGTGTGTGTGTGTGTGTGTGTGTGCGTGTGTATGTGTGTGTGCGTGTGCGTGTGCGTGTGCGTGCGTATGTGTGTGTGTGTGTGTGTGTGTGTGTGTGTGTGTGTGTGTGTGTGTGTGTGTGTGTGTGTGTGTGTGTGTGTGTGTGTGTGTGTGTGTGCGTGTGTGTGTGTGTATTTGTTCTTTTCTTTGATTTTCTCGCTACTTTTTATACATACGATTTCAGAATAATATCAACTTTGCCTTACAAGTTCTCTCTTATTTAAATCCACTACATATGACTAATAGGCCTATCATAAGTGACGATCAGCTATTTATAATGATCAAACGAGCATGCATACCTTACTATAATAGACTTTGCTAACATCGCTGTCGTTAACGATGTTGCACAGCGTGATATATTGCAACATTGGTTTAATCAGTGCAGTAGTAGACAACTTGACTCGAAGGGATATTCTGCAGTGTTTAGTTATTGTTTGTTTTTGTTTCTGTTTTCCTAAGTTTGTCGGACAACATAACATGCGTATGAGTGAAGAAGAAGAAGAAAAGGAAGAAGAAGAAAGGGAAGAAGAAAAGGAAGAAAAGGAAGAAGGAAGTATAACAAGAAGAATAAGACGAAGAAGGAAGAAGGAAGAATAACAAGAATAATAACAAGACGAAGAAGACAAAGACGAAGAACAAGAAGAAAGAACGAAAGAAAGAAAATATCCGAGCTCTGACCTGGCAGTCATACAAGTAATCTATACAATCCTCACCGATATTCGAAGGTACTTAAGTTTTTTTAAGCTATCATGAGCCGTGTCAGTTAAACATACAAATACACACCCAGTAACATCACACAAACATCACATACCCAACTATTTCACATCACGGCTCCCTTGAACCTGACAGCCGTCATCGGGCCGTGAAAATGACGTGACAGTGCAGTAAACATGAGATTGCCACAGTGCCTTTTTCCACGCCAAGGAGAATCGGCAATCTGACGCATGGCACGTGCCGGGTGCCAACTCGTGACACTCCCGTATCCGAATAAACGGGCGACGGAGATAAACTGTGATAATATCTCGCTAACATGCTTATCGTCTCGTTTGAGCTTAC